CGATCAACGAATCAAATATCACTAATTATAAAAGGAACATAATAATATTATAATAACTAAAAACTCAAAATATTAAGTCCTTCTTACCTCTCTTCTTCTTCTTCTTCTTTTAAATATCTAATTTATTTTGTTGGAGGTAAAGAGAGGTTGAGGGTAATGAAAAAGATGGACTTCTAGAAGACCCTTTTACGTATACCGCCCATCGATTATGTTACGAATTAGGAATGTCTCCCGATTATTGTTTAATAAAACCAGTTTCATTTATTTTAAAACATTTGGCCGTAGGGATAAAATAAATAAATAGTCCAAACAATATATATAAAAATGACATTGACATTTAAAAATTGGTATAATATCAAAATTAACCCTCAACATTTATCAAATAATTTTGGTCCATATTATTTCTCTGGTGTTTTGACCCAACGTCTCCTTCTAAGATAAAAAGACCCCTAATATTGATTAAATAGTCACTTTGACTCTTATTTATTTTTCTAGAGCATTTTGGCCCTCCAAAATTTCATTTTCGAGTAAAAGAACTCCTATTTTAGAGCGTTAACTATTTATTAACTAATGATTGTCATCTATTGAAGGACCCTTTTCTCCTAAATGAAACGTTGGGAGTTAAAACGTTTTAAAAAATAATAGAGGTCAAAATGATTATTTTGATAAATTTTGAGGTCTAATTTTGATAGTATGCTATTATATAATATTTAAATTAGTAATGTATTAAAATTTTATGAAATATAGTTTTAATATAAATATGATTCTTTTTACTGTAAAAGTTTGGTAGAGTTGGAGTTGGGATTCAATTCAAATGAAATTATTGATAGTAGCAAAGTTAAAAGGAGGAACGAAAGTCCACCCATTGTTATCTTACAAAAATTGAAAGCATTAATGCATGAAATTGACATGTTGAGTAGGTAAGGTATTGACCTTAGATTCAAGTGTCTGTTTCAATGCCACTTGGAATCGTAGCTTACCTAACGAGCTATGCCATTCATTTCTCTTCTTCACTATTCATCGTTATGGACTGAAATAAAAATATATAACAAAAATTAGTGAAATTACGAAAGAGGATTTATTTATTGATAATAATTGGAATATTTTTTATTAGTTTAAGGTGATTATAGGGTAATATTTATTAGAAAAACTTTTAATTATTTAATAATGAATATTCAAATATCATTATAAAAAATATATTTAAACCCGAAATCTCTAAAAATAGCAACCACTTATTTAACCGCCGAGATCGAACATATTAATCTTAGTGTACATCCATGAATAGAACCTCCGAAAATACTGTTTCGCACAATGCGATACCGTTAAAGGAAATTCTCGAAATTATAATACAATTCTTTCTAATATATCTCTAAACCCCTACTGTTAAGTTTGACAGATATTAAAATGTGTCAAATTTCATTGAATCAGTCCTCTCGTCATATTTGGCAAGTTATCTCCTAGACCACCTATGAATAGTTACCATCTCCGATCAACCTATCGACGGTTGATGTGTAGTGTGGATGGTAAATCTATCTTACATCTTTCCTTGAATGAGAGAAAATTTAACTCGAGTCTCGTGTATTCGATTATCAATATCTTTAATGACTCTCCGCTAACATTTAAAGAGATGAATTGTCACCTACTATCGTTTCTAAATTTCTCCCTAATAATTCTCCACCTACGTTTGAAATATGAACCTATATTAACCGGTACAAGTCTCCACCTCTTGCACATCTGCAAATCATAATTCTTTTGGATAATAATTAAAACGTTAAAAATCGAATAAATTTTGAAAAACTGTTGTACATTGATCATTGCACGTTGAAATTCTATTCAAAAGGATTCCCAAAAACTTTATTTTTCTTTTAGGGTTTTATCATTTGATAAATTCACCGCCCAAGATGTATTTTAGTTCATATAGGAGACTTGACTCCCCTACCCCTTTTGAAAGCAATAATCTTCATCTCACATTCTAAAAATTAACTATCTGTGGGGCATTGGGTCGTCTTTTGCTGATGATAAAGTCTCATTTGCATAAATTATTAACTTATCACGTTTAAATTTACTTTTTAAAAACGTATTAAAACTTAAAGATGAATGCATACTACTTGGGTTTCAATCATTGAAAGTGAAATGAAGATGTTTAACTATTCATGGAAAAGGAAACAATAAAGCATGAAACCCCCCTCTCCCCTCAACCACTATTTATTTATACATAAAATTATATTATCTAATAGCAACAACTAAGGAGTACTAATTCATTTATTTTCTTCTAGAAAATGCTTTAAAGGAGCTAAACAAGTTCATAAATGTGAATAGAAACTTAGGGAGTAGATTATGTACGCGGCTTTGCACTTTCTTTTAGTCTGAAATAAGGCAGAATTCTTGGGAACAAAGACAAGTGTTTCATGAAAATTCCATGGCGCCTATGAAAATAGGATTTGAGGCTGGGAAAGAAGAAAAGGAGAAAAGTGGCTGATCCACTGAAAAAAGAATGCTCGAGTGATTGTTGTTTTCTAGTTAGCTAGGTCTTATTGTGTGAAAGGGGTGAATATAATTCAACACAGGGTTAATCAAATAGGAGAAGACTAGACTCACTAATTCCTTGATAGAATTGATTGAATGCTACGTTGCATTATATATGAAGTTATTAAATGTGCCAATGAATAAAAAAACAATAGGTGGGTATTATATCTAATTGAGATAAATTGTCATTTAGGGTTAGGATCCACTTACACAATGTAAAATTCTTTAGTTTTACATATATTTAATACCGTTGTATGAGTGGAAATAGATTGATGAGATTGACTTATTGGTTTTTTCCCAGTGAATATCTTCTCATTTCCTATTGTTAATCTCAACCATCTATTTTCACTCATCCAATGGTGAGTTTTACACAGATTTGGGATCATTGGATGCATGAAAATATATGGCTGAGATTGAGTCTTTGTTTTCCCCCAGTAAATATCTTCTCATTTCCTACTGTTAATTTTAACCATATATTTTCACTTAGTTTTACATTATGTAACAGGATCTTATCCCATATATATATATTGAGTTTTGTTTCTTTTTTTTTAATTTGAGATTTGGATTTTAAACGGATTAGACAAAAATTGAGTATTATAATATTTTTAAAAGAATCAACATTATATTAGATAATAATAATAAAAATTCTCATATATATATATATATATAATCTTATACCTCATTAATCTTATTTTATTTTAAATAAACTCATATGTATATTATCTTGTTGTATAGATTATATCTGTAAAATTAAAAATTGAGTTTCAAAATAAGACTTATGAAGTAAACTTCATCCATTTATTTTAAATTATAGGATTAAATCTTAAAAGGAAATGTCATTCTCCCTAGAGGTCCTAAGTTCGAATAAAGAATATTATTTATCCCGTTAAGTGGTCTCAGTGGTAAAAGAGAATGTTGTTATCCTTAGAGGTCCCGAGTTTAAATAGTTGAGTCTGCATGATGCATGTTCGTTGTCAATTGGTTAAGAAAGTTTTGAATATATACAACCTTATAAGTTATAATCACCTTATATTATTAAAAAATATATAATTTAGTACTATTGAAAACAAATTATCTATATATTTTCATCATTATAAACGTATGAATTTTCTAGAATGAAAATAATTATATTGAGATATATTATAATTTTAGAATAAAATTTAATTTTAAATCGTGAAAAGGTTATATATAAAATTGCTGAACAACTATGAATTCACATAGAATGTAATTATATAAAGCTCCTTAATTGAGCCAAAGATGTTCCTACGAGAAAATAAAGTTTATATACAATATTAGAATCGATGACAAGGGAATAAAAAATTGATTTAATTAATATATTATTGATAATTTTATTTATAGTAGGAAATCAAAGTAAAATAAATTTACGTATAGAGACGGACATATAATTTTTTTTAGGATAAACACATATATATTAACAATAGATCCGTCCATCGGCAGGTGTAAAATGTGATACGTTACATGATCTTAAATTTGAAGACCACATTTTAAAAAAATATTGATTTTACTTCTAAGAATGTTCAAATGATGAAATTTTTTAAATAAAATATCACGATTATAGAGTTGTTTTGTGACATTGTCTTAGTTTCATATGTTTGAATTTTTATTTTATTTTATAAGAAACAATAATAATATGATAAATTTTGATATTTATAATTCTTATTATTATAAAATATTTTAGGGACTACATTTTAAAATGTAACATAGAACCTTCAAATCTATTGGGACGGACCTGATTAGCAAAATAAATTTTTTATACGGATGAACATAAATAAAATTTCAGGATAAACACAAATAATAAAACAAATAATTATCTAAAAAAAAATCAGATTTCAATGTCCATTCCTACCAAAAGAAAATGAATAACTGTATAAATAAAAAGAAAAGAAAAATAACGTATGAACAGAGAAATAACAGAAATATTGAATTCCACGATGAATATTTTCAAATAACAACAAATAAGTTTGGTAGATAAAATAAATAAATAAATACGCTATAAAATAAACATATTCAAATCATGATATGATATAAAATTGACATTTGTCATTGAAAAATTATATAATATATAAATTATTAATGCATCAAAATCACATTAAATATAGTTTTAATATGAATATGGTTTTCATTTTATTTTTTTACTGTAAAAGTTTTGTAGAGTTAGATTTGGGCTTTAATTCAAATGAAAATATTGCGAAGACTTTCTTGGTCGTCAATGACTGTTTCAATTCCACTTAAAATAATAGCTTAGCTTAGTTCAGGTCATTCATTATCTTCTTCATTATTCCTCGTTCTGGACTGAAATAAAAAATATATACAAAAATCAATAATAAAAGATTGTTTTGTAATTTCTTTTACGAGATACAGATTGTGATGACTGATGAAAGATTTTCGTCTATAAATAACCAGCATGATCAGCTATTAAACCCCATGCAAATTAACGCAATTTCAAGTCATAAATGGGTTCCGGTTATGTAGTATGGAGTCTGGCCTTTTGCTGCACCTTAGCCATTGCATGGGCTGGTAGCAGTCATGATGAACTCGCCTTGGATTTGTCTTATGACTATAAGGATGCACTCGGCAAAGCAATCTTGTTCTTCGAAGGACAACGTTCGGGGAAGTTACCGGCCAGCCAGAGAGTCAAGTGGAGGGGGGACTCTGCACTCACCGACGGAAAACCAGATAACGTATGGCTACCGATATACTTTGTATATTGATGATGTTAGAATTGAGCTTGGTATTACTACTGACATTACAATTCCAGTTCCTTGAAAAAGAATTTTGATGATTTGGTTTTGTTGCAGGTTAATTTAGTGGGAGGTTACTACGATGCTGGGGACAATGTGAAGTTCCTATGGCCTATGGCGTTTTCCGTGACTCTGTTAAGTTGGGCAGCCGTTGAGTTCCGGAACGAAATCTCTTCGGCCGATGAGCTTAACAACCTCCGCACCGCAATCCGTTGGGGCACGGATTTTATATTGCGAGCCCATACTTCACCCACCACACTTTACACTTAGGTTTCTGTCTTCTTTTTAACCATCTATTCAACCTATGTTCAACATGAACATCGATGGTATTTGTATTTCACAGATGGGGGATGGAAAAGATGATCACTAATATTGGGAGCGGCCCGAAGACATGGACACCCCTCGAACACTCTATAAAATAACTTCTGATTCACTAGGCTCCGAAGCCGCAGCCGATGCTGCCGCTGCACTTTCCGCTGCTTCATTAGTCTTCCAAGGGGTTGATTCCAATTACTCTACGGAGCTGTTAAGGAAATCCTGTAACACCTGGAAATTTGAAAATAATATTTAATTGAAATTTGAGGATTTAATTGTGTAATTGGTAAAAATTAGGGATTAAATTGAAAGTTTTCAAAACTTGTAGGTTGTTGTAGAGTTTAAGGAAATTCAAGGACTAAGCCCTGAATTTACCCCCAAAAAAATGTCGGCAGACACTCTATTAAATGGATAATCGGATGTGCGTGGGGTTGAATTATTAAGCAAAAATTTATAAGTTTTCTTCCTTTCAAGTCCCAACTTCTAACCACGATCCCGACGTCGTTCGACCTATGATCGTCGTTTTGAAAAAACTATCGTGTTCATCATCAAGTGAGGAACAAACCCCTTAAATTAATTGAAGTGAAACACTGCCAAACGCCGTGAATTTCAAGTTAAAGTCTCAACGTTTTTTTAGCTCAATCGCCGAGAAAGTCTTAAATTCATCGCCGATCATTGCTCCGTTTACAACACCTCTCGCACCATCGTGTTCTTTGTGCCGTTCCGAGTCTGCCGGTGTCATCCTTGGTCTCCGTCGACGGCGGCGCGTGGGGAGGTGAAGCGGTCAAAGTTTCCTATTTGCTGAAATCGAGCTATCTGTCGTTCAAAAATTTAAACCGAGCTTTGTAAGTATCTCGAAATCGCTCAAAATATTTTTTAGAAAATTTTTCGTGAATTATACGATGTCAGAAACGGTCCCACGCGCCGCCATTGCGCGTGGAAAAGGTCAAAATGACCGGTTACAACCCGACCCGTTGACCGTTGACCATTGTTCAGATGCTATTCTGGTAATTATTTGGAAAAAGGTGCTATTCTGGTAATTATTTTAAAAAGGTGCTATTTTCGTAATTTTTAAAAATAAATAATTTAGTAATTTTTTTTAAAAAAATGATATTTTAGTAATTATTTTAAAAATTGTGATATTTTGGTAATTGTTTTTGAAAATATGCTATTTTCGTAAAATGATTGTTCATATCTTGACCACCTTTGACTAGAACTTTGATCGGCTTTGACCGGCCATTAAACGACCGTTAATCTTTTCCGAAAATATCTATCCTGACATTTTTCGACGTTCTGAATCCGTTTTTGGTGTCCGTTTCACCAAATTCGAACCTAAAAATCTTCAAATTGTCAGTCAAACCCTATGACTTTGACTTTGACCAAGAATTTAAATATCTGGAAGGTCATACTTTATGTTTTTCGACGTCCTGAATCTGATTCCGAAGTCTGTTTTGCCAAATTCTGACCCAAAATTCCCAAATCAAGCACGTGAACCCAAAAAGGCTTAGTATTTTAATATTTTGATTATTTATTTGAGTTTTGGTTAAGGAATTGATTCTATAAAATATTTTATGAAAGTACTCGTGTTTCACATGAGCGATGATCAGTTAGGTCTAGAGTTGTTCGTTCGTCAGATCAGCCCGAACTGCGTACTACAAGAAATACTCGTAGGTTTCCGTATATTAATTAAATAAAGATTAAGATTATTTATACTAGGATTCCAATATAGATTTTTTTTCTAATTCATAGGATCTAGCGCTGCAACAGAGCGTGATCGACAAACCCAGTAATAGGCTTCCCTATCTGATTTCTCAGACTGTTACAGGTGTGTTTCCCGACAGTGTTCCATTATTACTGTTTTAAAATATATATCTGAATATTGTGTATCTGATATCTGATTTACCGCATATTTCTGATATGATTTCTGGTTGCGGTATTTTATACCGATTCTCTGAATACTGATTATCCGATATCTGAATTTTCGTACACTACTGATTTGTCTTCTGATTTCCGTATTTCTGTATATGATTTCCAAACATGAACACTTTTATGTTTTAAAGAATTAATCATGATTTTCATTCAAATACATTCATGAATATCTCTATCATTGGGGGTTATTGTTGAAGGAAGTATATCCGCAGGTTCCTCGGCTTTGTGCTCAGGGCCTTATTTGTTGTGTGGGCTGGGTGTATGGTTCTAGGGAACCTACACATTTTGTTGTGATGGGCTGGGGGTAATGTTCATATTTTTTTTAACGTAATTGCAAAACTGATTTTACTGGAATATTTTTATCAGTATGTTTTTATATACACTATATGGAGCACACTGGATTTTTTTAGCTCATTCTGTAGTTTTACCCCTTTTCAGATAACAACCCGTAAACTATCAGATTTGACATCAGGGGAGATCAACTACTTATTTTGTACGAACTTATATCTCTATATGTTTTTCAGTTATGTTTGGTGACATATTTGCTATCGTTTTGGATATATCTGTATTATTAACATTTTGTTTTGTATTATCTAATGTATTATAAGATGTTTTAAGGGGGGGAAAATCTCTGAATGGGATATGTGACCACTTAGGTTTGGGTCTAAATTATAGACCGGGTCTGGGGGGTTACATTTGGTGGTATCATAGCTTTCGGTTTTAAACACTCAGACTGTATATGGGTCCTAAATTTTAGATTTTTAAAATAAAAAAATGTCACCTTATTTATGATTTAAAATTTTCTGGAGATCCCTGATGCTAATCTGGCATATGTTTCAAATTCTTTCTGTAGAGCCTTATAGATCCAACGATGAGTGCTGCTAGAGGTCGTAGGACAAGACGTGGACGTGGTCGAGGGCGAGTTGCTCGACCTTCTGTTACGATTAACGATCCGATGTCTCCACGTGATCCTTCTGTTCCGCAAGTAGATCCGACCCTTTCTCATGATGATCATTTTACTCCTGTGAGAGACTCTCCCGTCACTGGAGATGAGGATACTGACGTGAATGAAGACGCCATTAATAAAACTATATTCCGCATGTTTCAGAGAGCTGCCAGAGCCTCTAGTAATATGACTGCGGTTGAGATTTCAAATTCTTTGGTCACTGCTGGTGTAGTTCCATTCGAGGGTATTACTGGTGGAACCCCGACAGACGCTGAGTATTAGCTGGAGGACACAGAGAGGATTATGGATGAGATGGATCTCGAACCTGAGCAGAAGTTGAAGGGGGCCCTAACTAAGTTGAAGAAGTAGAGCTTTAGATGGTGGCAATCAATTTCTGGTAGTATTCCGAGAAACCAGTTAACATGAGAGTTTCAGAATCTGGAGCAGGTTAATATGTCTGTTATGGACTACGAGGTTGAGTTCATCCGATTGAGCCGTTATGCTCTTAGACTTGTTTGACACAGAGACAGATAAATGCTTAAGATTCGAAAATAGACTCCGGTATGAGATCAGGAGTCGAGTCGCTACCCACCGGGAGAGGAATTTTGATGCCTTGGTTGAGATAGCCAAGACTGCTGAGGAAATAGAGCGATTGGGTATGGAGCGCAAGAGAGATAGTGATCGAGCTCAAACCCGATTCAGGAGGCCTTCTGGTTCTATTGATTCTTCTGCATATCATAGCAAGAGAGGCATGGGTGAATCTTTTCAGAGAGGCGGTGCGAGTGCCAGGCCTGTAGCATCCAGTTCTTCAGCTGTTCAGTCTTCTAGACCTGTTGATTCTTCCGGGTTGCAGCCATGTAATTATTGTGGAAAACCTCATCCTGGGGAATACAGAAAAAAATTTGGTATATGTTTTAAATGTGGTTCTGGTGACCATTTTATAAGGGATTGTCCAGTATCAGTTACTACAGTTCAGACACCAGCTCATATTCCCGCTCTTACTTAGAGTACTGTTCAGACTCCAGCAGGGGGTTATACTCAGGAGAGGGCACCTGGATCGGCTAGTAGAGGCCGAGCATCTCAGAGTAGGGGTCCAGTCATATCTGAGGCCAGACAGCCTGCATTGGTTTACACTGCCAGATTTTGACAAGATCGTGATGAACCTAATGTGACTGCAGGTATTGTTACTATTCATTCAGTTCCCTACTTTGTATTGTTTGATAGTGGCTCTACCAATTCCTATGTATCACATTCCGTTTTTGAGGGTCTAAATATTCCTATTGAGAATACTGAGCATTCTATGATAGTTCAAAGTCCCTTAGGCAAGTCCATAATGTTGGATCGTATTTTTAGAGAATGTCATATAGAGATCAATGGGGAAATTTTTCTGGCCGACCTGATGGAGTTACCTTTAGAAGAGTTTGATTTGATTCTCGACGTAGATTGGTTGGACAAACATCGAGTAAATATTGATTTTGAGACCAAGAGAGCTATTCTAAAGACCCCAGATAATCGAAAGATTGTAATGATCGGGGAACGTCGTGGATTTCTGACGAATGTTGTGTCTGCTTTAGTAGCTGAGAAGATGATCAGGAAAGGTTTCAAGGTATTTCTTGCTTATATATTGGATACCAGGAGTTCTCAATCTGATATTAAAGGCATCCGGATTGTTAAGAAATTTTCTGATGTTTTTCCCGAGGAGTTGCCTGGATTACCGCCGGATAGAGAGATTGAGTATAAAATTGAAGTCTATTCTGGTTCCACTCCGGTTTCAATGGCTCCTTATCGTATGGCCCCAAAGGAGCTTAAAGAACTGAAAGTCCAACTTCAGGAGTTGTTGGATAGGGGATTTATCCGACCCAGTGTATCACCGTGGGGAGCCCCAGTTCTCTTTGTCAAGAAGAAAGATGGGACATTGAGACTTTGTATTGATTATAGAAAACTGAACAAGCTCACGGTTAAAAATAAATATCCTCTGCCCAGAATCGATGATCTATTTGACCAATTTCGAGGGGCTTCTATCTTTTCAAAAATAGACTTGAGGTCTGGTTATTATCAACTCAGGGTGAAAGACTCGGATATTCCGAAGACTGCTTTCCATACTCGGTATGGGTATTATGAGTTTTTAGTGATGTCATTCGGGTTAACAAATGCCCCTGCTGCTTTTATAGATCTGATGCATAAGGTGTTTCGACCTTATTTGGACTAGTTTGTAGTTGTGTTCATTGATGACATACTGGTGTATTCTAGAAGTGAAGAAGAACATGAGGAGTATTTAAGGATTGTTCTACAGACTCTAAGGGAGAATAATTTATACGCTAAGTTGAGCAAGTGTGAGTTCTAGCTCAGCGAAGTGACTTTTCTTAGACATATCATTTCTGCTGATGGTATTCAGGTGGATCCAAGCAAAGTGGATGCTATTCTGAACTGGAAGCAACCCAGGAACGTTTCTGAGATCTGTAGTTTCTTGGGCTTAGCTAGTTACTACCGTCGTTTTGTTGAGGGGTTCTCCCTTATTGCAGTTCCTCTGACGAAACTATTGAGGAAAAATGGTCCATTTGTCTGGTCTGAGAACCAACAAACTAGCTTTGAGAAATTGAAGATTGTTCTAACTCAAGCCCAGTGCTGATTCAGCCTGAATCTGGAAAAGATTTTTCTGTCTACAGTGATGCTTCTCACTCTGGATTAGGATGTGTTTTGATGCAAGATGGAAAGGTTGTCGCTTATGCTTCGCGTCAGTTAAAGCTGCATGAGCGTAACTATCCTATTCACGATCTGGAGTTAGCTGTCGTGGTTTTTTCTTTAAAAATCTAGAGACACTACCTCTACGGAGAAAAGTGTTATATGTATACTGATCATAAGAGTCTGAAGTATCTACTTACTCAGAAAGAATTAAATTTGAGACAAAGTCGCTGGTTGGAGCTTCTAAAGGACTATGATTTAGAGATAGAATATCATCTAGGGAAAGTTAATGTAGTGGCAGACGCCTTGAGCCGTAAGACGATATCAGATCTCAGAGCCTTATTCGCCAACTTGAATTTATTTGATGATAATAGTTTGTTAGCAGAGTTGCAGGTTAAACCTACTTTGGCCGATGAGATTAAGACCAAACAACTTCTGGATAGCTCATTGCTTCCCATTATTGAGCAAGTTAAGCAAGGATCGAGTTCAGAGTATACTGTGGATCATGATGGTATTTTGTGTTTTCACGGTCGTTACTGCGTTCCTAAAGATGATGAGTTGAGACGGGTTATTCTTCAGGAGGCTCATAGTAGTCCTTATGCTATGCATCCTGGGGGGATAAAATGTACAATAATCTTAAAGAGCGCTACTTCTGGACTGGTATGAAAAAGAATATTTCAGATTTTGTGGCGAGGTGTTTGACTTGTCAGCAGGTTAAGGCAGAACACCAACATCCATCTGGATTGTTACAGTCAATTAAGATTCCTGAGTGGAAATGGGAGCGCATTACGATGGATTTCGTTACTGGTCTTCCTCTGACTCCTTCCAAAAAGGATTCTATTTGGGTGATTGTTGATCGACTCACCAAGTTAGCGCACTTTATCCCTATCCCGATTAACTATTCTCTGGACAAAATGGCTAAGTTGTATATTTCGGAGATTGTTAAACTTCATGGTGTACCGTTGTCTATCATATCTGATCGAGATCCAAGGTTCACTTCCAGGTTCTGGAAGGCTTTGCACGAGGCTCTGGGTACTCGTTTGAATTTAAGTACAGCTTTCATCCTCAGACTGATGGACAGTCTGAGCGAGTTATTCAGGTGTTGGAGAATATGTTACGGGGTTGTGTGATTGATTTCCGTGATAGTTGGGAAGATTTCTTGCCACTAGCTGAGTTCGCTTACAATAATAGTTATCAGGCGAGTATTCGCATGGCACCGTACGAGGCTCTGTATGGACGTAGATGTCGTACTCCTATATATTGGACTGAGTTGCATGATAGAAAAACTTTGGGTCCAGACTTGGTTCGAGAAACTGAAGATATTGTCAGATTGATCCGTGATCGCTTAAAAGAGGCATTCGATAGGCAGAAATCATACACAGATAAACGACGTAAGAATATCGAGTTTGAGGTTGGAGATCAGGTTTTTCTCAAGGTATCCCCATGGAAGAAGGTATTGAGATTTGGACGTAAGGGTAAACTGAGTCCGCGATTTATTGGGTCGTATCGTATTTTGAAGAAAGTTGGACCTGTTGCTTATCAGCTTGAGTTGCCTCCCCAGCTCAGTCGTATTCAAGATGTTCTTCATGTGTCTATGTTGAGGCGATACCGTCCAAATCCGGATCACATCATTCAGGTTGATGAGGTAGAGCTGAGACCTGATTTGTCATATGAGGAAGAGCCTATTCAGGTTTTAGAGAGAGATGAGCGAGTTCTTTGGAATAGGCTTATTCCAATGGTCAAAGTTCAGTGGAGTAATCGTAGCCCATCAGAAGCTACTTGGGAGACATTGGAGTCAATGGAGGCTCAATTTCCTCATCTATTTTCATAAGGTAAATTTCGAGGACGAAATTTCTTGTAGAGGGGGAGAATTGTAACAACATGGAAATTTGAAAATAATATTTAATTGAAATTTGAGGATTTAATTGTGTAATTGGCAAAAATTGGGGACTAAATTAAAAGTTTTCAAAACTTGTAGGTTGTTGTAGAGTTTAAAGAAATTCAGGGATTAAGCCCTGAATTTACCCCAAAAAAAGTATCAACAGACACTCTATTAAATGGAGAATCAGATGTGCGTGGGGGGTGAATTATTAAGCAAAAATTTATAAGTTTTCTTCCTTTCAAGCCCCAACTTCTAACCACGATCCCGACATCGTCCGACCTCTGATCGTCGTTTTGAAAACACCATCGTGATCATCATTGAGTGAGGAACAAACCCCTTAAATTAATTGAAGTGAAACGCTATCAAATGCCGTGAATTTCAAGTCAAAATCTCGACTTTTTTTTAGCTCAATCGCCGAGAAAATCTTAAATTCATCGCCGATCGTTGCTCCGTTTACGACACCTCCTGCACCATCGTATTCCTTGTGCCGTTTCGAATCCGCCGGTGTCATCATTGGTCTCCGTCGACGGCGGCGCGTGGGGAGGTGAAGCGGTCAAAGTTTCCAATTTGTTGAAATCGAGCTCTCCGTCGTTCAAAAATTTGAACCGAGCTTTGTAAGTATCTCAAAATCGCTCAAAATAATTTTTAGGAATTTTTCTGTGAATTATACGCTGTCAGAAACGGTCCAACGCGCCCCCACGCGCCACCACTGCGCGTGGGGAAGGTCAAAATGACCGGTTTGACCGGTTACAACCCGACCCGACCCGTTGACCGTTAACCGGGTGCTATTCTGGTAATTATTTAGAAAAGGGTGCTATTCTGGTAATTATTTGGAAAAGGTGCTATTTTTGTAATTTAAAAAAAATAATTTAGCAAAGTTTTTTAAAATGACATTTTAGTAATTATTTTGAAAATGGTGATATTTTGGTATTTTTTTGAAAATGATGCTATTTTCCTAAAATTGTTGTTCATATCTTAACCACCTTTGACCAAAACTTTGACCGACTTTGACCGACTATTAAACGGCCGTTAATCTTTTCCGAGAATACCTATCCTGAATTTTTTTGACGTTCTGAATCTGTTTTTGGGGTTCATTTCACCAAATTCAAACCCTAAAATCTCCAAATTGCCAGTCAAACCCTCTGTCTTTGACTTTGACCAGGAATTTAAATATACGGAAGGTCATACTTTATGTTTTTCGACGTCCTGAATTTGATTCCGAAGTCCGTTTTGCCAAATTCTGACTCGAAATTCCCAAATCGAGCACGTTAACCCAAAAAAGCTTAGTATTTTAATATTTTGATTATTTATTTGAGTTTTGATCAAGGAATTGATTCAATAAAATATTTTATGAAGGTAATCGTGTTTCACCTGAGCGAGGATCAGTTAGGTCTGGAGTTGTTCGTTCGTCAGATCAGCCCGAACCGCGCACTACAAGAAATACCCGTAGGTTTCCGTATATTAATTAAATAAAGATTATTTATACTAGGATTCCAATATGGATTTTTTTTCTAATTCGTAGGATCTAGCGCTGCAACAGAGCGTGATCGACAAACCCAGTAATAGGCTTCCCTATCTGATTTCTCAGGCTGTTACAGGTGTGTTTCCCGACAGTGTTACATTATTACTGTTTTAAAATATATATTTGAATATTGTGTATCTGATATCTGATTTACCGCATATTTCTTATATGATTTCTGGTTACGATATTTTATATCGATTCTCTGAATACTGATTATCCGATATCTGAATTTCCGTACACTACTGATTTGTCTTCTGATTTCCGTATTTCTGTATATGATTTCCAAACATGAACACTTTTATGTTTTAAAGAATTAATCATGGTTTTCATTCAAATACATTCATGAACATCTCTATCATTGGGGGTATTGTTGAAGGAAGTATATCCACAGGTTCCTCGGCTTTGTGCTCAGGGCCTTATTTGTTGTGTGGGCTGGGTGTATGGTTCTGGGGAACCTACATATTTTGTTGTGATGGGCTGGGAGTAGTGTTCATATTTTTTTTAACGACAAAATTGCATAAACTGATTTTACTGGAATATTTTTATCAGTATGTTTTTATATACACTGTATGGAGCACACTGAGCTTTTTAGCTCATTCTGTAGTTTTACCCCTTTTCAGATAACAACAGACCGTAAACTATCAGATTTGGTATCAGGGGAGATCAACTACTTATTTTGTACGAACTTATATCTCTATATATTTTTCAGTTATGTTTGGTGACATGTATTTGTTATCGTTTTGGATATATCTGTATTATTAACATTTTGTTTTGTATTATATTTAATGTATTATAAGATGTTTTAAGGGGGGAAATCTATGGAATATGTGATCACTTAGGTTTGGGTCTAAATTACAGACCGGGTCTGGGGGATTACAAATCCAAATTAGTAAGAGGCTCGGTTTAAGTTAGTTCCTTTAAGCCTAACAAATTATTATCAACTTATAAGCATATTTAACCTCAATCGCTCGGCTGCACAGTTATTCGAATTTGCAGACAAGTACAGGGGACGTTACAATGAATCTTTCGATTTCTACCCCTCGTACTCAGGATATCAGGTAAAACATGTTGAAATTACGTTGGTGAATATAATATAACATTCCTCGATTCTGTTTGATTTGAGCTTCATTCGTTCGGATTTTTTTTGACAGGATGAATTATTATGGTCGGCAGCTTGGTTGTACAAGGCAAGTAGAGATGTAAAATACTTAAACTATGTTGTGAGCAACCAAGGATGGAGTGAGGCACCATCAGAGTTCAGCTGGGACGGTAAATTTCCTGGAGCTCAGGCATTACAAGCTCAGGTATGGCGACATTAATTCGCTGTATAATTAACAAAAGACAGATATTAACAGTTTCTTGTTCAGGAATTCTACGGTGGGAACAAGGGTTTGTCTAAATATAAGACCGATGTCGAATCATTTATATGTGCACTGATGATTCCAGGGACTGGAAGTAGCACTTTCAAGGTCGAAGTAACTGCTGGTACACACACCTCAAATCATTAATGAATAACTTAAGATTTCTTATGATTTTTTCACTAAGCTAATATATTTTTCTGGCTTGTTTTCAGGTGGCCTGTTGTTTCTAAGAGAGAGCTCTAATTTGCAATATGTTTCAAGCTCGTGCATGGTGCTATCTGTTTACTCGAAAACGTTAATGGCATCTGGCATCGACGGCATTCAATGCGGCTCAGATAATTTCTCAGCCTCCCAAATCAAATCTTTCATGAAATCGCAGGTGGACTACATATTGGGGAACAACCCCATGGAAATGTCGTACATGGTGGGATATGGAAGTAAATATCCCACGCAGCTTCACCATAGAGGCTCATCCTTTCCTTCGATCCACAGTCACCCCAGCAAGGTGGAGTGTAACAATGGCTGGTCGAGTTATTTCGATTCTAACAATCCGAATCCAAATCAGTATGTTAGAGCAATCGTCGGAGGCCCCAATTTGAATGACGGTTTCAATGATCTGAGATCTGATTACTCACATACAGAACCCACAACTTATATGAATGCAGCTTTTGTGGGTGCAGTGGCTGGTTTGCTTGATGAAACCAAAGGGGAGACTGCTACAGCTGCAGAGTAACACAATCATTAATGCTACTGACTATGTGTAATGCATTTTACCAGAGTTGCATCAGGCACTTGAGCCCCATGAATTTCTTATATTCATGGAACCTTATTAGTTGAAACTTAATTACAGGGAATATCAGTATCCATCCGCATACATGTAAAATATCAAAGAAATAAGTATATACGATACATCTTTTCAGATTTGTTTTTCTTTTAAGAAATAAGTAAAGATTCTAAGATTCATTAGGATTCGAAGAAGAAATGAAATATTGTGAAGTATACCTTTGAATAGAAAATAACTTTATGAACAGAGAAATAATAGAAACATTAAAGTCCACGTGATATTATTCTCAAATAAATAATAATAATGCAGACAAGCATAGTAGCTAAAATAAATAAAAAATATTTTCTATTATATAAAAATGACATTGTTATATAAAAAAATAGATAATATATAAAATATGAATGCATCAAAATCACATTAAATGTAGTTTATTAAGGTTGGGATTTAATTCAAATAAAAATATCGATATTAACTGACTCGGACTTTGCTTGGTCGTCAATAACAGGCTAATGAAAATATTTATCTTCTTCACTATTCCTCGTTATGGACTGAAATGAAAATATATACAAAAATATCAATAGTAAAAGATTGTTTGTAATTTCTTTTAGGAAATGCAGATTGTGATGAAAGGTTTTCGTGTATAAACAACCAGCACAACCAACTATTAAAGCCCACGCAAATTGGCGATTCCAAGCCAGAAATGGGTTCCGGTGAAATAGTATGGGGTCTGGCCTTGTGCTGCACCTTAGCCATGGCATTGTTTGGTAGTAGTCACGATGAACTCGCCTTGGATCTGTCTTATGACTATAAGGATGCACTCGGCAAAGCAATTTGTTCTTCGAAGGACAACGTTCGGGGAAGTTGCCGGCGAGCCAAAGAGTCAAGTGGAGGGGAGACTTTGTACACACCCGATGTTAAAAATGAGTTCGGTATTAATTTTGAAGATTTTGTTTTGTTGCAGGTTAATCTGGTGGGAGGTTACTATGATGCTGGGGACAATGTGAAGTTCCTATGGCCTATGGCGTTTTCCCTAACTCTGTTAAGTTGGGCAGCTGTTGAGTACCGGAACGAAATCTCTTCCGCCGACGAACTTAACAACCTCCGCACCGCAATCCGTTGGGGCACGGATTTCATTTTGCGAGCCCATACTTCACCCACCACACTTTATACTCAGGTTTCTGTCTTCCTTTTAACCATCTATTCAACCTATGTTCAACATGAACATCGAATGGTGTTTGTATTTTACAGGTGGGGGTGGAAAAGCTGATCACCAATGTTGGGAGCGTCCGGAAGAAATGGACACCCCTCGAACACTCTATAAAATAACTTCTGATTCCCCAGGCTCCGAAGTAGCTGCCGATGCCGCCACCGCCCTTTCCGCTGATTCATTAGTCTTCCAAGGGGTCGATTCCAATTACTCTAAGAAGCTGTTAAGCAAATCCAAATCAGTAAGAGGCTCAAATTTACCATCCTGTCTACAATAGGACTTCCTTTATGCCTAACAAACTACAAGCATATTTAACCTCAATAGCTCGGCTGCACAGTTATTCAACTTTGCAGACAAGTACAGGGGATTTTACAATGAATCTCTCTCTTTCTACCGCTCTTACACAGGATATCAGGTAAAACATGTAGAAATTTCCTCGATTCTGTTTGATTTGAGCTTCATTCGTTCGGATTTTTTTTGACAGGATTTGAGCTTGGTTGTGAGCAACCAAGGATGGAGTGAGTCAGCATTAGAGTTTAGCCAGGACGGTAAATTTCCTGGAGCACAGGCATTACTAGCTCAGGTATGGCGACATTAATTAGATGTCAGAAACGGATGTGTCAGAACGTGCGAATTTTGGAAATTATATTAAAAATTTTGGCAAGGTGGGGTGTAACGATGGCATGTTGAGTTATTTCAGTTCCAACAATTCGAATCCAAATTAGCATGTCGGGGCAATCGTGGGAGGCCCCGATTCGAAAGACCGTTTCAAGGATCTGAGATCGGATTATTCACATTCCGAACCCACAACTTATATTAATGCAGCTTTTGTGGGTGCAGTGGCTGCTTTGCTTGATGAAACCAGAGGAGCCTCTGCTACAGCTGCCGAGTAATTCAATCATAAATATTATTGACAATGTGTAATGCAATTAGTCGAAACTTAATTCCAGGGAGTGTCTGTGTCCATCCACATGGATGTAAAATATCAAAGAAATAAGTATATACGAAACATGTTTTCTGAATTTATTAATGAGATCCAAACCTTATCACTTGCTAATTTGAATTTAAATCATTTAAATAGATTCTTCCGGCTTTTAGATCATTTACTAATGTTAAAATTTATTAATAAAAGATTAGGTGCAAAGCGCTAGGAAATGCATCTAATAAATGCTAAAAACACAGAATATTAGAATATTACAATTTTTATTATATATTTATTGAAACATAGTTAGATGGATTCAGAATTATTCTCATTACAATCGAAAATCATTACAACAAATAGTTTTCTAATTTAAATTAATATGTAATAACTATTGTACATTCAACTTTCTTGTACGAAATGTATTACAGAAACTGAAAGTGTTAAAAAGTAAGTTACAGATACAAAAGAGAGAGACAATGCTTCAGCTGTTACAAGAGTGCAGTTTGGTTGTTGCATGGCTGGCTTCTGCCTATTATAGCTTAAGGGTGCAGATTCATTCATGCGCCGTACTGCTTGAGACAAATCTGGAAACTGGTCGAGGAAGAAACCCTCAAACTCAAAGCTTTGTACTAATCCCTCATTGGAGACTTTTGTCCCTCTGATCATCCTCTTCAACCATTCGCAGCTCCTCCATTTTCATTGCCATCTCTTGTTTCTCAGACTCGTTTCTAATATTAGTCGGAGAAACAAGTACGGTTTCTCTTCCTCGTGGAGTTCATTTTTATCGGCAAGACTTTTAGTCACCGTCGATGATTTGTTGCGAGTTCTTCCGGCCAGCGAATTTCCCCGAGTCGGGTGGCCATGGCTGTGCTCGGCGGTGTATGTTATGATAAAGACTCCGGCCTCCGTGCAGCTACGCTCTACTTGCTTTCTTGCTAAACAGCCTTTTGAGCTACTGCACCTGTAATAGCTCCTGTGTTTTTTTTTCATTCCAAAATATAAGCTTTATACACCAAAACAAAGACGACAACATGCAGAAGAGAGAACAAAGACGTTTAATTACCTTGGATATGGTGAGCCCTTGATGGGTTTCTTCCCATATTTTCGCCATGCCCACACATCCGATTGAAGACCATCAGCTGTTACGTGTTGCACCACTCTATTCTTCGGATTCTTCCGGCTGAAACATGTCTACACCAATTATGATTCATAAATAACCAAATTCTTTTTTCATCGCAACCGTGATTAATTTGCAAACCTGGTTCTTTTAAGTTTTGCTGAATCCTTATTTGCACCAGAGGTAGCAGGCCGAGAAACAGATAGTTGTTGTTTTCCCTCCACATGATCTTCAATGACTGGTATGGAATATGGATTCAACTCAAGAAGGAAGGGCTTGTAAAGTTCCTCCAGCTCATCTAGATCAAAAGTTTCTGGGAAACTCATGAGATCTTCTTCCTGTTGAAAACTCCAAGAATCAAAGGTGAATGTTGGGTTTTCCATACAAGAGATACAGGCATCGTTGCTGGTTTCTCCAACTACTTCTTGCAAACCCCAGTTCTCCATGTACAAGTTACTCATCAATAATTGTGATCTGTCGGAGAATTGTGATGAAATTGAGAGAAAATCTAGATCAAATGCCTTCGTTTATATACTGAAAGAAAGAGAAAAGATTGTTTTTTTTTTCAGCCGCGGTTCTGTAAGTCTGGTTTGTATTTCTGGCAAGCTGACATATTGAAAAGTCAAAGGATAGAGGTGCTTCTATATTCTGCATTTTAAACGGCTTTCACTCCTGGCCTTCGTTTTATCTGATTTGCTAACAGCCAAAGCTGTTTTCTAAGAAATCATTTGGGATAAATAATCATTTGGAGAGTGTGCATGCATCTTATAATTTAGCATGGTTTGGGACAAAGCACTCACTTTCTTCAGGACCAACTAGAACTTAAAGACTTTTCTAATAAGATAATTTTAGGCAGAAATAAAAAAAATTGAAGTTCGATTCGAGCTCGAAAAAATTTAAACTCAAAATATTTTCAAACTTAGTTCAATTGAAGCTCAAACTCAAGCTAGATTCAAGTTCAAAATTGAGTTCAAACATGAACCTTAAGAATATGAAAACCTTATATTGTATTTTTTTAAAGAAAAACAACATTTCAATGTTAATATTATTAATAATTTAATGTAAAAAAATTCAAATCAAATCTTTTTAATTCTAGTATTAACCGAACTTTAATTAAATTAAACTAGAATATCTTCTGTCTCGTCTCATTTGCCAATGAAACCATAGGCTAGACTTGAAACTACTGCTAACGTTGGCGAAGACTAGAAAAGAAACTGTGGATTATTATATGATGAGTCGCTTCTTTTTTCGGCTGAATATATGATCACAAGCAGTCTATGTTGTGCAACTTGCCATGTGCTAAACATTTGTTCAGTCTTAATACGGCAATTGCTGCCTGCAAAAAAATCTATGCACATAAGCTTATGCCATGCCCCCAACATTTGATTTTACAAGTTTTTGGATTAAATTATTTTTGGATGTCCCAACATTATAGGTTGGTGTTGTTATGGTCTTTGGGAACTATTATGTAATGTACCACGCGTAAAAGAGGAGGTTTCTTGCAATCACACGGAAGACTCGAATCTTTGGCCAAACAATATCGTATTATTCTCCAATTTCGTTCAACATTTGCTGCTGCCTCTCTCACATGTTAGGACTTACGATGACAATAATAACTGAATTTAATAATTTCATATTCTATTCTATTTAATACTAATACTTTAAATATCATATTTAAAACGAAAGTACGAACCAAACAACTTCAATGATAAATGAATGATCGTTATTCCTTAAGGTCCCAGGTTCGAGCACCATGAATATTAAAAATATGAACATTCAATGTCAAATGATTTGAATAAATATAACATTTTGTACATATTTTCTCTTTTTCGTTTTTATCTTCTTTAAGCTCCTACTCTTATGCATTAGCTATTGCAGGTGAATATTAGAAATATGAACATTCAATATCAAAGAGTTGTCACCCGGACAACTCTCATATGTATCTCTAAATGCTAACCAATTTTAAGGTGAATACAAACGAAGGATAAATACCAAAAGTATACAAAAATTACTATAACAACAATATGAATGGACGTACCTAAAAAACAAATGGAAGTCGCGTATAATATGTAGTCAGTCTCAGCATATATACGGGCCGCTAAAAGAATATCAGAATTGTAGCAAAATTTTCCTAGTTGCTTCTTGATGCAAGACTCACTAGCTTTCCCTCTACGGAAAATGTGCTACTGTTTTCAAGCTGTGTTCCAAAGCAAAGAAAAATCTTTAAATTCAGCACCAGAAAACAATGACGAAAAAGATAGCAACTAACAAGTGAACAGACCTTTCGTTTCAAGTAGGCAAGAGCATCTTTTGAAGAAAAGTTGCAAAAAAAGGAGGATGAGTGTTCATCTATAAGGACTTTTAGCTGTTTTAGTTTTAATGTCTCTCCAGGTTCCTGAGTAGGCAGATAACTAATAATTAGAGATTGCATTTGCGACTTCAAACAGTTTCTGTATTTCGATCAAGTACCTGACGAAGAAGCTGTTTACATAACTTTTTCAACCTCAATTTTGGTTCATCAGCTTTCTTGGTTTCAAAGGCATTGTCATGCATTCGTTGTGCTGGGGGATCAAAACCATCAGAATTCTCATCATCACTGTCACTAAATGACGTCTTTTTCCCGTGAAAGCGAACTCCAGCTATTTTCTTTGGTCGGTCTTTAATGCCTAGACCTTGCTTTCCGGATGTCGCTTTATCCTGAAAATAGAAGGCATATATTACTTGTCTAACATACTGTTAAAGCTCTTTTAATCTCCCCATCCCAAACATGCTTATGTAAACATCAAAAGCATGCAGAACAATCAATAAAAAATAGGTTAAAATAAAAGGAAAACAATAATTATTCTCTTCATCTAACAAATAAATTTAGCATAGTTTCCATGTAAAAAAATGAATGGTAAAGAGACATACTTGTACAAGTTTGTACAGATTCTCTTGGTCATCTTCGAAAAAAACAGTTCTCTCAGTTAAACTTTTAGACTTCCCAGTTCTGATTGATTTCTTTCTGGTTGATTCTCCAAGAAACCCCCCCGAAACAAACCCATATTTATGGCCCCACCATTCTGGAGGAATGCTTTCACCTATTACTCCTCCTGTCACAAGGAATCAAGCCATCTCAGAAATGATCAGACATCAAAAAGCACATAACAGAATGAGGACAAGAATATCATTTGCCAGCATAACACTATAACAGGTCTTCAGGTGCATGATAATACATTCTGAGGGAAAGAAAAAGTCCAGTCTGGCTTTCCATCTTCAACATTACTGAACAGGCACCTTACTACAGGAATACACCCCAAGCATTCGGTATGAATTAAAATTACTACCAGTGTTTCATCAAGCTACTAGTAGTTAATTACCTCCTGTAGGAAAATCCTGACTTTCAATTTTCTCCATCAACTCCATTTCATCGTCCACATCCGGATTTGACGGTGATGACTCCTTAACCTTTTTGACCTATTGCAAAATAGGCACGAGTAAATTTGCAGTGGTTCTTTTCAAACCAAAATAATAATAAATGTTTTACTAAATACAGGGGTGAAATATCTGTTGGGAAAAAATTGACAATTTTATAAATAAATATCTATAATAATAAACATAAAAACTACATCATAATGCTTACTTCAATTTACATATGAAGTTGTATGATCATTTAGCATTTAACCAAGCAGAGAAGAACTATTTATTAGTGAAACAAAAAGTCTTGTAAGTGCTTATTTTTCTGCCTCTCTAACTGAAGTACAGACATCAAAAATCTGTTCAAAAAATTGAGCGACTCAATAATGCAGGCAGGAAACATGGCTTGTGTTTCTCACGCTAATATGAAACACTGAACAAACCAATCCTGTATAAACAGTTAAGTTGGCAATTCCACTTGCAATTTCAATCAATAAAACATGAACCCAATATTTACTTTTTTTCCTTGAGCTCTCGTGTATTTCTATACCAGGAAAAAATGTTGAAAGTAAATAGCACATTATTGACACATAAAATCTGAATACTCTGTGCCAAGGGAAACAGTTCAAAACAAACACGGGAAATCTTACAGTTTGTTCTGATGTAATAGAATTATTCCGTGTATTTAAAAGAACACAAGGAAGAGGACAACAAAATATCACATGCTGAAACATGCATATTACCAAAGCCTCAAACAAGACATTTCCAACAGTCTAGATAAGTTACAACTTACAAGAAAGCAAAGGTTATAAGTCATGATGGAAGTTTAGAACTTACAAGAATTCCTTCAATATCCTTTGAAGAACATACCTGCACAAGCTTCCCCCTCTCTCTTTTATTATATCTAAGAACATAACAAAGTAAAAACAAGAAGAAAATTCAAGCATAGTAAATAATTGGAAATAATTCCTACCAAAAAGAAAAAAAACAGTAACAACTAACAAACCAACACGCACAAAAAAAGTGCACCAACCTTCCCCGTGGCCGGATCGCTTTGACAACTTGCTCTGCAGTGTCCTTGGACATATTGGTCTTGGAATCTACTTGATTTTCGTTCTTTTCAGCTGTTCAGTTAAATTAGAGTACTTCAGAATCAATAATCTACCAGGTTCAAAGTGTGATATAGGTTTTTTTGGCATCAATCATACCTTCATCATTGTTTTGTGCTGCTTGCTGTATAAAAACCAAATAACAGAATAAATAAATGAGCTTCGCATCAAGTTGAACAATGTACTAGCCAAATTAAAGACAGAAAAATTAAGTACAAAATACTCACCACTTTCAATCTTTTGAGAATACTATCAAACTGAGCTGTACTGAAAGCCCACGGATTCGGCTTTTCCAATCCAACTCCTGCTCCATATATTTCGACAAGTAAATTCTATTTATTATATGATTTTTCATCCTTCTATTCTAGTTCTCCAACGAGTCATTGAATATCTACATTCTACGTAAAGAAAGTTAACAAACCTTAAAAAAAAAAAGCAAAAAGTTTTTTTAACAAAATAAGGCAAACAGAAACGAACCATCCGTGTCCTGTTTGTTCTTAACTCTAACGTAACTTTTGATTCCTTGTTTATCTTTCCCAAGCCCTTCTCCTTCTTCCCATCCCTAAACGGGCAATCCAAAACAACGAATAAATATTTACAATTTAGAAAGAAAAAAACGTTAATAACTCAAAAGCATACGTACCATTTGCTTCATGAGGCGAAAAGCAGAAGATTGGCGAGCGACTCCGGAGTAGCGGAGAGGAGCTTCGGGTGCGATCATGATGGCTTCTTCTTTTTCTTCCTCTCTGCTACGCCGCCGACGATGTGGCGCCGTGTCTTGGCAGGTCCAGAAGCGATGAAGAAAGTTTGAGAGGGAGCTCGAAGAGAGAAAACCTAGGCGGCACTGAGGTGATATGCGGTGCAGATAGGCTTTGTGGGGTTCGGTGGAGACGCGGGTGATCTAACGGTAGATATAAATGAGGTGTAGGGGTTTGGAGTGTGGGTCCCTTCTGATCATGTGTTTGACGCGTGGTGGTTTCGTGATAGTAACTTAAAAAAATAAAAAATAAAAAGGGTTGGAAGCCGCAGTTTGGCATCCGCTTTCCTAACGGTTTACCTACCCATGCGTAGGATTCAGGGAGACGGTGTCGTTTCAGCATTCGCTGCTGTGTGGTCTCACAAATGAGCTTAGTATAGAGGGCCCAAAATAAGTAATTTGTGGGGCCCAACTAAACGTGTTAGGTTTTTTTATCATTAGTGTAATAATTATTCCGCTTAATAATTTTATTTATCTGAACTAATTTATCCAATAAACCTCTGTATTTATTTATCTTTTGAGTATATTTTATCTTCATCAAAATTGCAGGCAAAACTATGGTTAAAGTAAATATCTCATTGATTAGTGGTCACCAAATAGTTTAAGTTACATTATAATATTGATTATAATGCGAAAAACAATTTATATTAATATTGTTGTCATTTCCTCCGTGTTTTGATTGCCGACGACAATCCCAAAATGATTCTCTTATTGGATTAAATCTTTCTATTTTTTACCCTTCAAAATTTATTTGGTAGTGTAGTGTTTATGTGGAGTTTGATAATGATATGTATATTGAGAGGATTGATGGCCTGATGATGAAATAAGTGTCGTCAAGGTGGTGAGTGACGGTAATGAAAAGTGTATGGATGTAATTCAGGATTACTAGGATTTTTAAACTGTCTAGAGCAGGGTCGTGGTTAGGTTGTTAGAGGTCCTGTGCAAATTCTTGTAAAGGGACCTTTAGATCTCGAACTTATTTTTCTGAAATAATAAATGACTAATTTCATTAACTTAAAAAACTGATAGATATACTCTATTCTGGCCCCTGTGTAAATTTGAATTTGTTTTTCTCAAAAATAATTTTGCTTGTTAACGAGATTCGAACTTAGGATCAACAAAGTCATGGGCCCAATGATCTAACCACTGCTTTATACCTATTTTTTTCTTCTTAATGACAACAACTGATAGATATACTCTATTTCGGGGCCCCTGTTTTTTAAGGCCCTGCGTCGTCTCGCACTTAGCGCATGCTCAACCACGCCCCTGTCTAGAGAACATGATGAGTAATAGGTGGAACGATAGAATTTAGGTGGTAATAGTTCATGATAATTTTGTTATCGAAGAAGATTATTTTTTTTAATGTTATATAAAAAATAATAAATTTGATTAAATAGATCTTGAGTGATTTAAATAATAATACAATAATATATATCGTTACTATGACAAAAATTAGTATTCATGTGTCGTTTACAAATTAACAATTTAATATTATAATTAAAGACTAAATTAAAATTTAATATTAAAATTAATTTAACGATAAAATCAATATCAGTTCATTTATTATATTTTTTATATTATTTATCATAAATTAAAATAATTTAAACTCTAAAAAAACATGAGAGAGAATAGAAGAGAGAGAGAGAGAGAAAATTTGAATGTTCATTTGTCCTATGGTGAGGAATGGACAATTTTTTGTGAATTATCTGAGTAAGAGGGTGTCTAAGAGAGTAGTGAAGGAACTTTTCCAACACCATGGTCATGTATTAAGGGTTTACATTTCGTTTGAAACCAATAAACCTAGGTATAAGAACCATATGTTTGCCTTTGTTTAGTTCGAGAATGATGAGGAGTTAAAGAAAGCGATTGAGAATGTAAATGGTATATTGATTGATGGGAAGAGAGTCTATGTTGGAGCTGCAAAATACAAGAGTAAGAATGATGTGTTAGCAGATGGTATTAAAACCCAGATGGATAATGAGAAGTCGAAGAGGGGTAAAGTTGATAGAAATATAGAAGAAATAGTCTCTTTGAACAGATTGAGGGATGGAAGATCTTATAAAGAAGTATTGGTTTCAAATTAAATGAGGCGCGATGAAAAGAGTCCAAATGATAAAAGAGAAGGGTGTTCGAGAAGGGTTTAGAGGTGAGAAATATGTGGGAGATGCATATCCCCTCAGGGGAATCAAATTGGGTAAAATGTTCTTTAACATGTATCGTTAAACAATTATTTGAGTTGGTCTGGTATAAAAGGGTCTGGAAAGTGATAGGATTAAGGTGAAGATAGCCATATGGGGTTATGCATGGAAAACCTGCATTGTCACCTTTGGTTCAACAAAAGAACTTGAAGAGATCTGGTCGAAGAAGGAGGAGGAATTAATGTTTTGGTTTGACTGGATAGAACCCTTGGTGGATGAAGGAGGTATTCCAATGGCTTTTTTGTTCAGTGGAACTATATGGCATTCTATTGTTATGTTGGAATGTTTCCTTTATGGAGAAGTTAGTTGGACGATGGGGGAAAGTGAAGTGTATTCAGGATTGCATGTTGAACATGAGGGATTTGTCGGTGGCTAGGGTGTTGATGAGGGTGGTGACCCCCTTCGACGTATCGGATTGGGTAACATTATGTGCATATAGGAGATCGTACAAAGTCACTGTAACACCCCCAACCCGTATCCGACCCGGATACGAGTCCGAAGTGTCACATTGACTTTTCAAACATTTATTCGTATAAAATAGTGAGTAATTTAAAAACTTTGATAACAGTTAACTCATTCAAAACGTTTACAAAATATATCAGAGTTCATACAATTTATATCTTTAGACTACATGCCAACTACACTCTATAACCAGTACATATATTTTCTGATCTGACATTTTGGTAAGGAGAACTGACCTGTCTTGCTTCGTATTACTCTTTACTCTTCTCGAAACCTACGTGTGAAACAATCACACGCTAAGTCGAAGACTTAGTGAGGCATAAAAACTTATAATGCACTTTATAACATATATCAATACATGCATGTTCTGTTCTATCATGTTATACCAAATTACATGCTTTCTTCGTATCATATAAAATCATATCAGATTAATTACAGTAAATACATACATAAATCATCATTAACAGTTTATCATGTAATCACATACTTTTATGCTTCACCTTTTCAATCAAACACTATACACACACAACATCATATCATTTCTATAACAATTATCATATCACTAACATATATTTGTTCATATCTCTAGATTAGCCCATGTACATATGTGAGAACTATAGATATGTGAGTTTATGGAGGTTGTGCACTAATGTTGTCACCACAGCTCATATAAATGCACCGAAGTGCCACATAGAATTGCACCGTAGTGCCACGTAGAATTGCACCGTAGTGCCATATAACAATGTCCCGAAGGACCACATATCATTGCTTAAGAATCATATACATATGCTAGGGATCAGTATGCGTCTCACCAGACTTCACACATGTTCCAAAGAATACATATATGTCCCAAAGGACCACAATGTCCCGAAGGACCACATATCATTCCTTAAGAATCATATACATATGCTAGGATCAAGTATGTGTCTCACCAGACTCACACATGTTCCAAAGAATACATATATGTCCCGAAGGACCACAATATCCCGAAGGACCACATCATTCCTTAAGAATCATATACATATGCTAGGGATCAAGTATGTGTCTCACCAGACTTCACACATGTTCCAAAGAATACATATATGTCCCGAAGGATCACATAGACCCTCGACTCTTGGCATGCCAACTATACCCCTAGCTCTCATGACACATAACATGGGCATTGTCATTTAACAGTTCACATTACTTGTCATTTCTCTTCTGTCACATACCATATGTATGGTAATCATGTATTCCATATCATATCACATGTTCATATAAGCTCATAGCTTCTTCACATATACATGTAATCACTTAGTCTATTTTCATGTAATTCTTTTCACTTCTCATATGATTTATATTCATATCTCACATATTTCATATAGTCACTTGGCTTATTTCATTTCACATTGGGCATGTCTCATAGCATATATCACACATGCATATCATGTAACATATATAATAACCTATATCCATTTCATGTCTCCATGCACATACCAAAATCATAAATCAAATGACATTGTATTATTACATACTTTGTTCCATAGCCATATATTTACATATCTTATACTTACCTAGTTTACTCTATTCACACATAGTCGAATAATCACGTAATATACTTACGCATAGATCATTTTCATACCTATATCATATAACACCAATTCTTCCTCATAAAGTTATTTTATATTCATATAATATCATATTATCCTATAAGTAAATACTTATCTTATGGTTTGGTATCATCATTTATACTCAATTCCCTTCACTAATATTATTCTCATATTACTCTCTAGTCTAATCTTATTTAACTCATCACCTTTCTCATGTAGTCATATAAATCTATTATAAATTCTTATAATTGATCACTTATACTATTAACATGTATGGCCACTTATCATATAACCTATTTCATATTCCCATGCAATCATATAGACCATTCATATTAATCCTATACTTATCACAATACATGTATTCACACAATCATTTAACACATATTGTAATATATATCACATATACCCAAATCAAACATATGCCTATGATCATAAATTAATGCATAAATATAGGAAATAGACTCGTCGCAAGTCTTATTTCCATTAAACATCATAAACTAACTTGTATGCACTCACCTGGCCTCACTAGTCCATTCCAATCTCTTATCTTCCCTTTTTATCGATCTTACTTGTCAATGATTCCGGAACTCGTTTAGGCTCTGAATCTACATAATAATTCATTGATACTTATCAGTATACTAATTAGTATATTCTAAACTATCATTTCTTAGGCTAAAAGAAAAGCCATTTTCATCTTTTAATGGAGGCATGCATCGATGCACTCCTGATGCATCGATGCACTGAGGGCATTCGATGTTCATTTTATTAGAAATGCATCGATGCACTCCTTATGCATCGATGCACTGACGACATTCGATGTTTGTATTTAAATTAATACATCGATGCACTTCATATTCATCGATGCAC